TGACTAATGTGCATTAATGTGTGTTCAAGGAGTAGAAACAATTCTTGAACATGTTCTTAGCCTTCTCTATGTAATTTGGAAGAAGATGCTGCATCATTCTATCAGGCTCTCTAACTTAAAAAAAAAAATTAAATAAAAAATAATGCTATCAGGATCTTTGGAAATTGTGCTTGTGGGTGCTTGTGAAATTTGGATCCATCTAATTTCGAATATTGACCAAAGGTGCTGTCTTGTATATCAAGTTTATATCCAAGCTTCTTCTTCATCAAGGTTCATAATTCTGTATATTGGCCTGCCAAACATAAATTAAAGAGTAAATTACATTGACCTCTCCTAAGGTTTGAAAAAAATAGAGTAAGCCTCACAAGTTTAGCATAATCACATTGGACTCTCTTATGCTGTGTTTGGTTGAGGGATTTGAGGAGGGATTTGGAAAGAGAAATGGAAAAGGTAGGTGAAATGTGAAAAAAATATACCTACATTTCACATAGTTTCACACACTTTTTCCCTTTCCCTTTCCAAATCCCTCCCCAAATCCCCCAACCAAACACAGCATAAAGGTTTTAATTCACATAACACTGAGCCTCATTTTCATAAGAAATTTGTTAGTCATGTAGATGGAAAAATGATGATGTCATCTCTTTTACAATGAAATGTATATTTTTTCCTTATTTATCTTTGTGTCTTCACACCATTTTCATTTGTTCCTGTCCTTTTAACCTCTCTAAAAGGGAGGTCACTGTAATTTTTTCAAAGTTGTGGAGTTTGCTGGGAGATCAGTGTAATATACCCTAAATTAAATGACATGTTAGAATCTTGCTAAAGCTTGGATTCCCTCTAACATCTGTCCTCTTCCAGACAGTAGTTGATTTTGCTTGTGACTTGCTGGAAAGATTCAAAACTCTAGCAAGTTTTTTGTTTCACTAATTTCTTATGTTAAGTTTAGATGTTCCACTTCCAGCTGGTGATCACTTAAATTTACATAATCATGTTTGGTTTAAATATGTATAATAATAACCATTATAGAATATTGATTTCCATTCTTGGCCATTGCAGGTGGGCAGTCGTCATTAGCTAACTATTGCACTTATTATGTAGCTTATTCTGATGGATCATGCAATCATGCACAGACATGAACAGTGCTTGAGCACCTGACAGAATGTTGGGTGAGGTGAGAGGACATAGCTGAAGGTGAGATATGCTTATGGAACTTTTTTCAGATTCTCACATTTGAATTCTGCATTGGCATAACTTCTGTTCATTCTTGTAGGTGTATGGCCTCATCATTAGTACGGACTGGGTTTGTAAGGGGTTCCATGACCCAAGGAAATGGTTGTTATCAGCACAGGTGTATAAATAATTCGCTGGAGGTATAATTTGGACCTTTAACTTTGGTTTTTAATACAAGGATTCTGAGCTCATTTATGTTGAATAGAATGGCTACAACCAAACATTGTACGAGTTCGATTTTGAATTTATTTCCTTCAAAGAATGCTACTGATACCATCTCTTTTAGGACCATTATGGAAAAATTGTCTTTACATTGAAAAACCAATTCCTTGGCAAAACAGCTATAGGAACTGACTTCCTTGTATTGCTATTCATTCTTAATGTTGAAGTTTGAAGACCTTAATTAACTGCTTTATCTTTGTTTTTCGGCATTCTGGAATTATGCAAAGATGTTTGAGCATGGGGTAATTCAGGCATGCTAAAAATCTGTCAGGGACATCAATTAAGGTGTTACCTTCTAATAATAGTATAAAATATGCGCTTATATATGAATTTATGGGTTTTGGGATTTGTGAAGTAAACATTTAATTCCGTACTCGTCATTGAAATTCTTTGTATTTTCTTTGTGATATTATGTGCAAAATTCCTCTTATTAAGGGTAAATAAGTAGTATAGATTATGCTGAACATGACACTCATAGACTCATAGTGTTTTATTACCTGTCATGATTAGTTTAGGTAGTATGTGGTAGAGTTTCTAACAGAGTGCACAATGTGATCTATCATTTACGTTTTTGGATGGAATGATAGCTTCACATGATATGAGAGCATATTTGCAGTGTAGTTAATGTTCTTAAAGAATTGTGGAATCATATTTTATTGTCTTTTCTTTTTGGTATATTTCAACATACCCACATCTCTCTCTGCTGGGAAATCTACAAAGCTCTCAGCATAATTGCCAGATAAACATGCTTGCTCAGAAATCAGTACACACCTGGGTTCAGGTTAGCAAGTGTTCTACTACTCTAGTTAGTTAGTGTGAGTGTATTTTTGGATCAATTAATGCTTTATGTTGTCCATAATTCTAATTTGTGCTTAACTACTTAATCAAGCATATATAACTTTAGAGGGTGTCATTTTCAGCTCTTGCATAAGAAGGGGTTAGTCTGTGAGTATTTGAAATTTATTTGATTTCTGTAGGTCACCATTAAATGTATTAGTATTTTAGCTAATCATGAAAGAAAATCATTGACTCATGATTTTCCTGTATGGTGGGATATGTACTTGATAATTGTTGTGATAGAGTTCACACTTCGAGTCTTTTATGTCTCACCTGGATCCTTTGAATTCCAACCATTCTTTGGGTTGGATTGGATCTTAGAAGCTACTTCATTCACTTTTCCCTCCACAAATCCAAGATCCAAACACAACCTAAGTCAACAATACAGCGTATGGGGTGTACACATAACTTTAGTAGCTTATCCTTATGCAATTGCATTCCATGTCGTTGAATAAGTTGTAAGTTCAACTAAAACCATTAAACTATCCATGTCATAGACATAGTACTTTCTTGTTTCTCGCATTATCTGATATCAATAATGGATGTGAACTCCCTAATTCAATAATTCAATTCAGTCAATCACCCCAAATATATATATACATATATATTTCCTCAAGAAAGGATAGGCTTGATATCAACAATGATTGCACTTAAATAATATAATTATTTATTTGCTCAAAAGCTTGTGTTTATGTAACCTATGCATAATACATGTAATTGAGCTCTACTTCTATCCTTTTGTATTTGACTTGGATAGTTGAAGATCTCTCAAAATTCTCTGAAGCAGACTGTTTGTTGGTGATTTTTCTCATGGAGATATATCTGTATCTAGAATCTGGATACAGCCAAGACCAAAATTTAAGTTGAATTTACTCTTTGATGTGGTCAAACTGAATTTCTATTGATAATTAGCATATTCATGCAGCACAAAAAATTTATGGTGGTAGAGTAAAGAATCTTGATCGAAGATTGTAGTATTAGGTAAATTTGAAATTGGCAACAATTGCATTGACAGCTAAGAAGCATGGACACGGACACAATTTAAATATCTATTTTAGAAAAGTTGAATTCTGTCTCTGTATGTGTCTGAAAGATGTGCTTTATATATGAATTCTAGGATGGATATCTTCTTTAAGAGATTTGGGTGTTTTCTTTTTCCAGTTCTTTCAGCAGTTTCTTTCAGTGCACTCTCTTGTTATTATTTTCATACTGTCCTAATACAATGGTATCAGATCAATCAAAAGGCAAACCAATTGCCTTGGGTAGTTCAGGACTTGTAGTTCTATTTAAAACTTAGCTACTGCATCTGAGGATGTTCAAATGACAGATGGAACTCAAGCGTCTAATGTGAATGTGCAAGAAGCAGATCCAAAAGAAGTGACCTATGCTGAGAGGCTAACAAAAATAAAAGGAATTTTGTCTGGAGAGACTTCAATACAGGTGACTCTACAATTTTTATACAGTCATAGCAAGTGAGACAACAGATATAATTTCCAGCTCTTTATTTATTTTGCTTTGCTCAAATTCAATTTTCAGGAGTTCCATTTGTGTACTGTGAAAAGCTTTTTTCATTAATTTTATAATTTGCATATAGGTCGGATCTTCTTATTCTCAAGACAATAAAGCAGTCTGTGGAGCCGAGAAATAGTGTCTGCCATAGTGCAACAATATATGCTAATGCAATTATGCATGCTGGGACAACTGTGGATACATTTCTCTGTGAGAATCTGGTAAATCAACATTTCACTTTCATTCTCTAAATAAACCTTTATTGTTACACAACTTTACAGACAACAAAGCAGTCTGTGGAGCTGAGAAATAGCTCTTGGAACTGCTGATGAAGATATCTATGACGACGTAAAAACTGTGCTTTATACTGACAGTGCTGATTGTGGTTTCCTGTTTGAACCTTGTACTTACATTCTGTAAATTATCTTAAATTAGCATGATAGTTGATCATACCTGCAAATTTTTGTATATTACAGGACCGACGTTTACAAGATAATGTCAGCATCATCATTGTTGATTTGGGGTATGCACTTGTATGCATTAAGTTAATTTGATCTAATGTTTTCCATTCTAATCTAATGTGTCAATCTATTGTACTGATATTAACCTTTCTAATTTGGTCCTGGCTGTGACTTTTTGCAGGAGGACAAATTGGCAAAGTTTGCCTTGTTTAGAAAGAAAATTTTGTTTATGAACTGGGCCAAGCTTTTGCTACTATCGGTATTGTGTCATTAGGAGTATGGATGTCTGCTCTGCTTTCTGCATGAGTTTCAAGCCTGACTTTGTAAATAAATCCTCACGGATTTCTAATATATTTTGTGTCTAGATATATTCTGTAATTGTACATATATCACATCTTATTGCATTGTTTTTTATTTTTAATTTTGTTTTCAAACTTAGTTTATTTACTATTTTAATAAACATCAATTATTAGTTGTTAATAATTTTTATGACGGGTATTTTTTTCAACCATATAAAATTAGCACAACTTTAAAAATAAAAATAATAAAAATAAAGGCTATGGCGGCGTTTTTTGAACGTCACTATATCCCTACTCCAACGGTTAGATTTTTAAAATGTATAAATGTCTTTGACGGCGTTTCCAAAACGTTGTTAAATGTCATAGTGACGTCACAGTACAGTTAGGGTAGGACATTTGGCGGCGTTTTTAAAAACAGCTCCTATACTAACGACGTTTTCCAAACGCCATAAAGCTATAGCGACGGCCGCGTAGTCGGCGTTTGGTACTAGACGTCACAAAAAGAATTAGCAACGTTTTTAGTACCTATAGCGGCGTTTTTAAAACGCCGCTAAAAGTCGATTTTCCATCAGTGATAATAGGGATATCTTGTGGAATCACTTATGCACACATCAATTTCTTTTCATTTGAAGATTCTATTTTATTTATTAACCCTTTCAACTGAAGACCTTTCATCACTTCTTGAAGGACATCATCGCAACCATATATTGATTGGTCAAAAATTTGTGACTAGATATTCAATTCTTCCAAAATTTTGGTCATTTTTTTCCTTTGGAACAATTTCATGTTCTTAATTCTGTTTCTCATTGTATTTATATAACCTTGAAATTACCCTTTTAAGATCAGAACTCTGTACTTTATACTTCCTATTTCAAGTGTCATCTCATTCATCATGCATTTTTTTATAAGATAGATTTTGTATTAAAAGGCACAAATCAAAAGGGGGCGCAACCCTTTATGCATCATGTGTACGAAACATAAACTGTGGCTACCCTATGTGTATCTACAGGGACTTGGATTTTTCTACAGTGTTTGCTTTAATTGTAAGGTAGCTAATTTGTTGTTATTTTGTGCTGTCTCATTTTTATCTGCATTTAAACAAATGCTGCGGCAAGCTACATAACATGAAGAAGGGGAGTAAACATGTAGATGCAGCTCCACTTTGTGACAAAATTGTTTTCAATAAGGTGGTGGACATATTCTTGTAGCAGCTTTTCATTCTTCTTTTCCTCTTTTACTTTCTCATGGGACCATATATACAAAACTTAATCTTTAATGTGGCTTTCATTTCTTTTAACTCCATTCTCAGGTAAAGCATGGGCTAGGCGGAAATGTACAGCTTATTTTATCTGGAGCAGCACCTCTTGCTACCCATGTAGAAGCTTTTCTACGGGTGGTGGCATGTTGTCATGTTCTGCAAGGATATGGTATGTTGTCCTTTTAAATCTGTACATATCAATTTAACTTATTTTATCTGCCTTTTTAGCATGTACATTTGAATTTCACTCATTCCTCCCTTTGGAAGTGGTTTTTGTTACTTATCAGCCTATTTGAGACAGCTTGCTGATATATGTTTCTTTGTTGCTTAAACTCCACTTGGGAATGAGTTCTATTACACTTCGCTTTGAAGGCATCTGAGAAAGTTTGATGAAATTTCTTTAAATCCATTACCTCAGTGCCATATTCCCCCTGTTTCTGCCCATGAATAGAGACTTCTACTGATTCAGCACTGGTATCTTCCATTGTATATCCATTATCATACAGTAAACTTAATTTTTTTTTTTAATTTGTTTTCTTTCTGTGATGTAGGTCTCACAGAAAGCTGTGTGGGAACATTTCCAGTAAAAAAGAAAAGTGACATTTGTACAATAATGTATACTAGTGGCACTACTGGTGACCCAAAGGGCGTTCTGATTTCCAATAATAGCATTGTTACTCTTATAGCTGGGGTGAGGTGCCTGCTAGGGAGCGTTCATGAATTGGTAAGCATGTGAATCAATTTACATTCATAAATCTACGTGGCAGGCTATTTATTTGATTTAATCTAAATTATTCTGCTTTATTTAGGATTTCTTGCACATCCATTTGAAAATTTTACAGTTGACTGAAAAGGATGTATATCTTTCATATCTTCCTCTGGCACATTTCTTTGATCGAGTGATTGAAGAGTGTTTTATCAATATTGGCGGCTCAATAGGATTTTGGCGCGGGGTAATATGACTACCAATTCTTTTCCTTCCACATTAGAGTTCAATGTAACAATTCGGTGTTTGTTACATCTTCAGGATGTCAAACTATTGACTGAAGATATTGGTGAGCTGAAACCTACTATTTTCTGTGCTGTTCCCCGAGTACTGGATAGAATTTATGCAGGTAAGTTTTTTCTTTCTCAATGGATGCAAATGCGAGTTGGTACATGTTCTGAGCAAAATAGAACCTAAAAGGGACACTTTCATCGGTAGCAGATAATGAAACACAATGGCTTTAATCAACTGCAGTGGTTTTGATCCATCACACAGTAATCAACTAAAATATGAAACAGTAAAAGATTTAATGTTAGTGATTTATTTTTGTGTTCTGTTTTAATTCCAAAAACATTTATGCTCTAGAAAGCATGAAACAAATTCAGTGTATTTTAAGTTGTTAAATTTTGATAATTTTTTATTTTGGTCTGCCATGGGACTATTAAAATCTGAATAGAGAACACAAGAAACAGAATGGTTAATGAGGGCAGAGTTAAATTTAAATACAATGGTGCTCATTTCAGAGGCACACAGTGTTCTTTCATAATTTCATTCTGTGCAAAACATAACTTCAAGTTTCATGCATTTTATTCTCGAACTCCGGTTCTTATTTTCAGGTTTGCAACAGAAGATCTCATCTGGGGGTCTCTTAAAAAATACTATGTTCAACTTCGCATACTCATAGTAAGTTCTACTCCGCATCTCTAACCTCCTAGTAAAAGAAAAAAAAGAAAAGAAAAGAAAAGAAGAATAATAGGGATATCTTGTGGAATCACTTATGCACACATCAATTTCTTTTCATTTGAAGATTCTATTTTATTTATTAACCCTTTCAACTGAAGACCTTTCATCACTTCTTGAAGGACATCATCGCAACCATATATTGATTGGTCAAAAATTTGTGACTAGATATTCAATTCTTCCAAAATTTTGGTCATTTTTTTCCTTTGGAACAATTTCATGTTCTTAATTCTGTTTCTCATTGTATTTATATAACCTTGAAATTACCCTTTTAAGATCAGAACTCTGTACTTTATAGTTCCTATTTCAAGTGTCATCTCATTCATCATGCATTTTTTTATAAGATAGATTTTGTATTAAAAGGCACAAATCAAAAGGCGGTGCAACCCTTTATGCATCATGTGTACGAAACATAAACTGTGGCTACCCTATGTGTATCTACAGGGACTTGGATTTTTCTACAGTGTTTGCTTTAATTGTAAGGTAGCTAATTTGTTGTTATTTTGTGCTGTCTCATTTTTATCTGCATTTAAACAAATGCTGCAGCAAGCTACATAACATGAAGAAGGGGAGTAAACATGTAGATGCAGCTCCACTTTGTGACAAAATTGTTTTCAATAAGGTGGTGGACATATTCTTGTAGCAGCTTTTCATTCTTCTTTTCCTCTTTTACTTTCTCATGGGACCATATATACAAAACTTAATCTTTAATATGGCTTTCATTTCTTTTAACTCCATTCTCAGGTAAAGCATGGGCTAGGCGGAAATGTACGGCTTATTTTATCTGGAGCGGCACCTCTTGCTACTCATGTAGAAGCTTTTCTACGAGTGGTGGCATGTTGTCATGTTCTGCAAGGATATGGTATGTCGTCCTTTGAAATTTGTACATATCAATTTATGTTTGAATTATTTTATCTGCCTTTTTAGCATGTACATTTGAATTTCACTCATTCCTCCCTTTGGAAGTGGTTTTTGTTACTTATCAGCCTATTTGAGACAGCTTGCTGATATATGTTTCTTTGTTGCTTAAACTCCACTTGGGAATGAGTTCTATTACACTTCGCTTTGAAGGCATCTGAGAAAGTTTGATGAAATTTCTTTAAATCCATTACCTCAGTGCCATATTCCCCCTGTTTCTGCCCATGAATAGAGACTTCTACTGATTCAGCACTGGTATCTTCCATTGTATATCCATTATCATACAGTAAACTTAATTTTTTTTTTTAATTTGTTTTCTTTCTGTGATGTAGGTCTCACAGAAAGCTGTGTGGGAACATTTGTCTCACTACCAAATGAGCTGGGTATGGTTGGTACTGTTGGTCCTCCAGTGCCTAATGTGGATGTGTGCCTAGAATCTATTCCTGAAATGGGATATGATGCCCTCTCAAGCACACCACGCGGAGAAATATGTATAAGGGGCGATACCTTGTTCTCAGGGTACTACAAACGTGAAGACCTCACCAAAGGGGTCCTGATTGATGGATGGCTCCACACAGGTTTGTCTACGACAGTGTCTTTCATAATTAATTTGATATAGTGCTCATAATTTTCTTTCTTAGTCAACCCTGCCCCTAACAATGTTTGTGTCAGGGGATGTTAGTGAGTAGCAGCCCAATGGGAGCATGAAAATTATTGACCGAAAGAACATTTTTAACCTGTCACAAGGAGAATATGTTGCAGTTGAAAACTTGGTGAACGTTTATGGTTCTGTTATTGGTATTGACTCGGTAAGCCTCTGAACTATTGTAAATATATAAATGGAATATAAGTTTCAGTTTTGTCTCTGTGAGCATTCCAATTGTTGTCAACAAATATGGAATGTATTCGTTGTAGATATTACCGACAATGTCCTTCTAGTGATGAGAGCATGGATTTGTTTCTGATATTGTTTTAAAAGTTATGCTAGGGACCCCAAGTAAATTACCAAATCAATTGCCAAACCTCTCACATAGGTGTGGGACCCACACAAATCACATGTGTGTGGGTCCCACACCCATGTGAGAGGTTTGGTAAAAACTTGACACAGGTCTCTATGATTGATTATCTCACAAAATTAGTGTTTGCATTTACATGCTTTTTCCCCATCAGATTTGTTTTTTGTTTTCTTACACTTAAGGTACAAGATATTTGCCATAGGTTGATTTTGATGTGCGCATCCTGAGGTCCAACTTATTCTTTCTTGTTAAAACTTGAGGATATCTATATACTTGGTTCATTCATGCTTTTGTGCATGCCTATGGATCTGCTAAGAATGTTCTCATTTCTCACATTTGTGCACTTTTTCCTGTTGGAAACAATCCTTGGAGTGACTTATGCTGTGTTTGGTTGGGAGATTTGGAAAGGGATTTGGAAAGGGAAAGGGAAAAAGTGTGTGAAACTAGGTGAAATATAGGTATATTTTATTTACATTTCACCTACATTTTCCATTTCCCTTTCCAAATTCCTTCCCAAATCCCCCAACCAAACACAACATTAATGAATGGTCAAATCTATGCCTGTACTTTGGGGTTAGGAGATTGAGCATTTTGTTTATTCCAGAATCTTCTTGTGTTTGATTATGTCTGAATTTCAATCTCAGATATGGGTATATGGGAACAGCTTTGAGTCTTTCCTTGTTGCTGTTGTAAACCCAAATAAGCAAGTACTTGAACGTTGGGCTGAAGAAAATGGTGTACCTGGGGATTTCAATTCCCTCTGTGAAAATCCCAAGGCAAAACAAAACGTACTTGTAGAGCTCACATGGATTGGAAAGGAAAAGAAGGTTTGTGTCTTTTACACTTCCAACCACCTCTCATTTCTACTTCCATTTGATATGTAAGAGAAATTGATATAGAGAGAAATTGTATGTATTATAATTGATTGATATATTACAAGATTGTTGTATATATTGATATTTGTATCTATATATTACAAGTCCTATATATAGAGAGGTTTTGGGAGTAGTAGGTGTAGAGTGGGTGGTGGTAGTAGGTAAAGTGGAGGTGGTAGGTGGAGTGGGTGAGGAGTAGTGGAGGTGTGTAGTGGTAGTGGTAGGTTTTAGTGGTGTAGGAGGTGTACATTAACATGATAATTGAATAATAATCTGAGTTAGCAGAGGGGAAGAAAACGTTATTTACTTCCGGAAGATTTCTGAAACTTTTGTGATGTGCCTGGCAGTTGAAAGGGTTTGAATTTATAAAAGCTGTTCATCTTGACCCCGAGCCATTCGACGTGGAGCGTGACCTTCTGACCCCAACATTCAAGAAGAAGAGGCCTCAGTTGCTCAAATACTACCAGGTAGCTCTTCTTGATTCTCTCAAGGAATCTCATGGCATGCCATTGTACTATGTTCGTTGACTAGATGCTTTGACCCAAAAATGTTTTGAAATATGTGAAATGTGTATTAGAATTCTAATTTTTTTTCCGGTGAGACTTGAGAGGAATCGGGAGGAAATCATTTCATTGTAGAAAAATATGTATTAGAATAATATGTGGAGAAGAAAAGCCAAAAATTGACCCCCTCGAGTTAAAATCCTGGTTCCGCCCTTGGCCATGAGTGTTTGAACATTGGAGATTTCTAGTTCACTCCATGTTGCCATCTGCCAAGCAACTAGTGCATGCAAGAACTTTTAGTCAACTTAAATTTCCAATTAACTTTTTTGGAATTTGTTAATTTGTCATTTCTGTTTATGACTACTTTATAGTACTCTTTTTTTTTTTGGTGGCACAGTACTAAGGGGAAATCTTTGTGTTGCATTGCAGAACATTGTTGACAACATGTACAAGGGTGCAAAGTAAGCAAACTGCCTGAAGATGGTGTTTTCTAAATTTTAACAGCCCTAAAAAAGGTTCTTCATTCTTCGATGCTATTGCCAGTTTTGGCTTTTTGGCATCCCACTCTTTCTTGAAACTGTATGTATTGTTGGTTACTTGTATATAACCTTGATGATTAGTGCTATACAAATCAACAAAACTTACAAACCGATGTGGCACCAATCATGTTAATTTATTGGATTCAATTTCACTTTTCATAGTTCTATTAATGCATGCCAAAGCCAAATCTTGTTCAGTTCTATTGAAGCTGTGTTTTCTCTAATTATTCATCTTTCTAGTCTTCAACACAAGAAAAGGAAATTTCCATCCTTTGTGTTGAAAGATAAATTTGGTATTGAAAGGAGAAAGGTTTATTGGCTTTAAACAGGGATGGACAGATTGTTCAAATTGTATCAATTTAAAAACAGAGAGGTTTACAATGAAAAATTAGAACACTAAGGTTTAATTAAATCCTGAATTGTTTTTGTAATAATATATTAAAAGAAAAATACATTAAACCCCACTGGGAGTCCCCAGCGCGGTTGTGATTCACACGGTAAAGATGCCGCCACCGAGATCCCAATTACACGCCGAAAGATTTTCCTGTATTATTATCGCGGGTGATGTTATCAATGTACCTTTATAAGGAACAAAAAAACATTGACGTCCAACTTTGGCGTCGAATACGGAGTCATGCTTAATTGTGCTTCTCCCCAAAAGATATACTCAAATATAATTTGAGGAAATATTATTTTGTTTCTTAAATTTTTACATATTTTTTAATTTGAATTTTAAATTTTGATTAATATTAATTTTATATTTAAATTGTTAAAATTTTAATTAATTTAACCTCATCGTCATATTTTATCTACAAATAAACGGATTGTAATGACATAATACTACAGTTAATTTAAAATTTCATTTTACTTTCAAATTATACTTTAAAATTAATTTGTCTCCCAAAAAAAAAAAAAAAAAATCTAGGATCAAATTAAAAAAATCGAGTATTCAGTACGGCCTTTTTACCTAGTCCTCTGCGTTTTGGGCCTCAAAACCCAACTCGAAGCTCGGCCCAATTTTTCCCAAAAATTCTAAAATTCTACATAAAAAATTTAGAAAGAATTATTAAAAAAATTCAGAACTTTTTTGGGGAGGTAAAAAAAATTCTCATTGTAACAAAATAAATTTTAAATTTTTATTTTTTTCAATTTAAATTCTAATATTTAAATATTTTAATCATTAAACTCAATTTAAGTGTTTATAAAATATTTTAAAAAAATAAATATATATATATATATATATATATATATTTTTTGTTGAGTTTAATAACTAAAGTGTTATGTTTAAAAAAAATACACTAAAAGTTTTTTAGTATGTCATATTAAAGTGTTACGTTTAGAAAAAGTACACTAAGAAATTTTTGTGTGTTACATACATTGATTGGAATGTTACGTTTGAGAAAAGTACATTATGTAATTTTTTTAGAATGTTGCGTTGTTACGTTTGGGAAAAGTACTAAAAGAATTTTTTAGTATGTTATATTGAAGTGTTACGTTTGAAAAAAATACTAAAGAAATTTTTTAATTTTTTTGAAGTGTTACGTTTAGTAAATTTTAACATTATGAGAAAATTCACATTTTGACCACTTATGAAATTCATATTATGGAGGTAGACAACTACAGCTCACATGGTCACACCCATGGGTCATGTCTTCCTTTAATGTTTCTTTTTAAAATTTTGTCTTTTGCCTTTTGTTAATTTGAAGTGAAACTTTAGGCCAAAAAGCATCTCACTAGGATAAGATTTTGGTGGTCAATCACAACATTAAGAAAATGTAAGAGCACAATAATAATATTAAAACAAATGTATTACTGAAATAGAAGAAAAAAAAGAGAGAAAAAATTCAGTAGAGTCCCTTAATTATTAATGAAGACCTAAAATATATACCATGTCACCACATTTGTTGTTAGGGGTTAATTTCTTCCCAGTGGAATGAAACATATATTTTAAATTTTGTGCGACAAATTGTCAATCCAACAATAACAGACTTTATTGTGACTCCGACAATTTCTATCGCAAAATTTAAATTGAATATTTAAACCAATTAGAGAAAAGTCTGATAGAAAGACATTATTTTTTTTGTATTTCAAAAAAATTATGCAAAAAAATTAAAGATACAATAAGTCTGTATTTGAAATTTGAATTTAAAAATTATGCAAATTAAAATTTCTCTCATAAGGGCATTTTAGTCTTTTAACACAACAAAAATAATTTCTTTATTTTTCTAAAAAATAGTTTATCATTTGTTCCTTATTGTGTTATAAATTAGAATGATTTGTTTCATAAATACACTGCCAAACAACAACCAGCCTGACTGATACACACATATACACATGTATAAAGTGCTGAATCGTAACAACCTATATTAACTGCAACCCCTTTCTTAACCTAGGCCCCCCCTCCCTTGCTAACATACGCCACTATAAGCCTACTACCACCCACTACCGACAATAGGAAAATTTTAATATACCCTTTAAAAAAGATATACTATATATCCATTTAATTATATTATTTTTTTTAATTATAATAAATTTTTTTATTTAATTATCATCATTCATAAATTTTTTAATTATATCTTAGATTAAATTTACTTATAATATATATTTTTAATTATAATTCAAAAAATCAAAATTATAAATTTTTTTAGTTATACAGTGCACAGTATTTCCCCAGAGATATGAGAGAGGAGCTCATTGGCATAGGAGGGGTCGTGGTGGCGGAAGACGACGGAGGCGGCAGCCATAGCGGCGGCGGTCTCGCCGGCGAGGTCCGACCCGGGGTTGTTTGGGTCGATCTTGTAAGCTTGCCTTGAAGTGGTCATGTCCTCTGGCCTTTGCCAACAGTAGTGGTCTGTGTTCCCATCTCCCACCCGAAAAACAAAAACAAAAACAAAAACAAAAATCACATCAAAACTCGTTACCCACATACCCAAATTAAACAAATCACACAAATTGCTGTTCATTTATATAATTTTTTATAAATGAATTCTAGTTAATCCCACTGAAAACGACAAACAGAGTAAAACCCACAAAACCAAATCCAAGTTTTCAGTCTAATTTGAATGAAAAAAGAAGAAGCACAAATTCATGTTTTCATGTTTGGGTTTGTCTGAAAATAGAGCCATCACCTGAAAAAAAATTGCTTCAAGGAGTATTTCGTGTGTTTTAAGGAATAACTTGATGTCCACAAGAACAAAAGCAAAAACAAAGAAAACATATTTTCTCTTTGATAAAAGACACTACAAGACAGAATGAAACCTACAAAACCAAATTTAAATTTTCAACCTAATTTGAAATATATAAAAGAAAAAAAAAAAAAAAACAAGTTCATGTTTTCATTGAATGGGTTTGGGTGAAAACAGAGCAATCAATTGATACAAAATTGCTTCAAAGAGTATTTCGTTTTAACCAACAAATTGATGATGCCCACAAGAACAAAAGTAAAAACAATGAAAACAAAATTTATACAAATCACTTTACATTCATATAATTTTTTTTATATATCAATCCTAGATCTGGTTGTAGTTAGAAACAGATAATCCCATTGAAAATGACAGACAGAATGAAACCCACAAAATCAAATCCAAATATTCAACCTAATTTGAAATATAAAAAGCAAATTCATGTTTTCATTTGAACGTGTTTAGGTGAAAACATAGCAATAATCACTGTGTTTTAAGCAAAAACTTGAAGTCCACAAGAACAAAAACAAAAGTAATGAAAACATATTTTCCATTTCTATACCTCTCCATAGAGGACAAAGGGATGGGGATGAGCTTTAATGAGGTAATCAGTGCCCCACTTAACAGCTTCCATGGCATTACTGAGCTCTCCACTTGCAGCCATTTGCCTCCCATACTCACAGTTTACGGGGTCATGTCGGACCGTTGTAGCAGACACTGTGTGGTCGTGTCAGACCGTTGTTGAAGACAATTTATGGGGTCATGTCGGACCGGTGTAGCAGACACTGTGTGGTCGTGTCAGACCGTTGTTGAAGATAGTTTATGGGGTCATGTCGGACCGGTGTAGCAGACAGTTTACGGGGTCATGTCGGACCGTTGTAGCAGACACTGTGTGGTCGTGTCAGACCGATGTAGAAGACAGTTTATGGGGTCATGTCGGACCGATGTAGAAGAATGTGGTGGTGCACCAAGGGGGCGACTTAGGGAGTGCGCCATGAGCGACTTATACATGATACTGTGTATATCCCCCCCTCAAACTCAAATAGGTGTGAAGATAGAAACCTATTTGAGGTTGAAACAAAGGGATTGATAAAGCTGACCGGTGTAGAAGACACTGTATGAGTGTGTATATAGACTGCCTAAAAAATACGAGCCCAAGTCATAAAAAGATGTGCCGGACATGATGGTGAGGCGCGTCACCACATTGGCTTGCGTGCCCGTTTTGTCGTCTGGCGTCAAGTGGCTCGCGATGCGCGTGTCTGGCTTGGCTATTTAACCAAGACGGATGCTGAGGCTGAGGCAGAGGCTGAGGCTAAGACAAAAAACTGGCTAAAAACCTCTGAGAAACTCTTCGTTGTCTTGAGAGAGATACTCTGTAACAATCTGTAACCAACCCTTCTCTGAAACACTCAGCAACCCATAACATGGCCTCCATGATGCGCGTGTCTGCCTTGGCTATAAGACGGAGGCTGAAGCTAAGGCGAAGACAAACAACTTGCGAAGAAAAACTTCTGAAAAAAAAAAGCCTGCGTTTGCGGAGAGAGAAACTCTATAACACTCTGTAAACATTCCGTAACCAACCCTTCTCTGAAACACTCAGCAACCCATAACATGGCCTCTTCTTCCCGTCTAGCTACCCAGAACATGGCATCCTCTTCCCGTGGTCTGCTCACGCTCTTTCCAGAATTGAACGAGTCCACAAGAGAAATAACTGGAACTGGCTCTGCTCCAGCGCATGTATAAGGATGCGCGAGCAGAGATAAGTGTGCTAAAGGCGGAAAATAAGGAGCTGAAGCGGAAGGCCACTGTTATGTTCCGATTTGGAGGTCCGCCATATGCTGTAGTGGAGGAGCAGGGGGGAGTGAACGTGCTCAGTGGCGTGGGAAACACGGAGGCAGCACCGTCAAGGGCCGCTCAGGACGGAGGCAAGAAGAAGAGACCGGTGGCAGAGTAGAGAAGAAAAATCCCGCCTGTGGATGTAGTGGTTTTGTTTTTGTTTTTGTTTTTTTGTTTTTTGTTTTTTTTTTTTTTGTGATCGGGGTTAGCCCCGACATGAATAAAATGAGTTTGGTGTGCAGGTCGTCTTCTTCCTCTGTTTTTTTTTTTTTTTTGTGATAAAATAATAATAATAATAATATAGTAATAGTGAAAGCATGTGACTCGGTGGGTTGGAAAGTAAAAAAAAAAAAAAGGGGGGAGAGAGAGTGGGGGACATGATGAGGATGATGAGAAGAAGAAAACGAATAAAAAAAGTGGTTTGGTGTAAGGTGGTGGCGTTATTTGAAAAACAAAAGGTAGTGGATGTAAATAGTAAAAGAAAAAGAAAGTAAAAGAGAGGGTTTAAAGGGAGAGAGAGAGAAAACCGAATCTGAGCGTGGTCTTTGTTTGTTTTGTTTTTTTTTATTTTGTTTTTGGTGCATTGTTCGGGGGCCAATGTCAGGGACTGGCTCGTACACAGCCGAGATAGACCGCCTCCGGAACCGGAGGCCTCCAGTTATGGAGGTTGTTGTTTGGGTCCTGTAGAGACTCGCTCAGGTGGGTTAAGCAAGCTTCGTCGTCTGGATTTGGGGTGGAGGGTTGGAGGAGGATGGCGCATGTTAGCAGCCACAGCAAGACGAATCTCCAAAATGATGAAGAAATGAGAGAGATGTGACCCAAATCAGCGTGGTGGCGGAGCTGGGCACAGGGGCGCTTTACAAGGCGGCGTCGGGGCCGAGGTCGGCGGCGGTGGCTGCCGCGATTGGCGGCGTGGTGGACCAGAGAGATTGTTTGAGTCCAGGGAAAGAACAGTAAGAGCAGAGAGATTTCCAAATGTTGGTGGGACGACACCAGTGAGATTGTTCCCGGAGGCATCAAGAACTTGCAGCCTTGGCAGAGCACCAAGTTCGGGTGGAAGGTGACCGGTGAGTTTGTTAAAGCCCAAACTGATGACTCTGAGATTATGACATCGGGATAGAGAGTGAGAGACCATGCCCGAGGGAGGGGCTAGGACAGTGACTGAGATAGAGGAAGCTAGGGTATGTGTAGAGGTCCGACGGGCGGCCAAGGCGAGGCTGCCGCCCGCCGGTGAAGCAGAATGACCAGGTTCTTAACCTTGCTCTGATACCATGTTAAAATTCAATGTATAAAGAGAATTGTATTATTGATTGATTTGATTGTGTATTGTATGTACATTATATAAGAGATGTGAAGTGAAGGTGGAGTGGTGTAGTGGAGGTGGTAGGTGGAGTAGGTGAAGTGGAGGTGGTAGGTGGAATAGGTGGTAGTAGGTGGTTTACAATTTACATTTACAATTTACATTAACAGATACAAAATTGCTTCAAAGAGTATTTCGTTTTAACCAACAAATTGATGATGCCCACAAGAACAAAAGCAAAAACAATGAAAACAAAATTTATACAAATCACTTTACATTCATATAATTTTTTTTATATATCAATCCTAGATTTGGTTTTAGTTAGAAACAGATAATCCCATTGAAAATGACAGACAGAATGAAACCCACAAAATCAAATCCAAATATTCAGCCTAATTTGAAATATAAAAAGCAAATTCATGTTTTCATTTGAATGTGTTTAGGTGAAAACATAGCAATAATCACTGTGTTTAAAGCAAAAACTTGAAGTCCACAAGAACTAGAAATATAAAAAGCAAATCACTGTGTTTTAGGTGAAAACATAGCAATCACTGTGTTTTAAGCAAAAACTTGAAGTCCACAAGAACAAAAACAAAAGTAATGAAAACATATTTTCCATTTCTATACCTCTCCATAGAGGACAAAGGGATGGGGATGAGCTTTAATGAGGTAATCAGTGCCCCACTTAACAGCTTCCATGGCATTATCGAGCTCTCCACTTGCAGCCATTTGCCTCCCATACTCAACAATACTCCATGACATCATTGTAATTGTGAAAGCCATTGGTAACCCAAACTTCACATTGTCCCCTGCATCATAGTACCTTCCTACCAGATCCACCTACAACAACAACAACAACCCAATTCAAACATTTCATCAAATTGCAAAATCACAATAGTCTTCTCTCTCTCAAATGGGTCTCAAACACAATACCCAAATGGGGATTTAGTCAGAAAAAATCAGAGAAATTTAGACTAGAAAACAGAGGAAGAGGGATATTATATATACCCCATTGGCTTTGCTATCGTTGAGACCAGAATGGCCTCTCCATTGGACTCTCTGAGTGCTGGAAAGGTAACCAGATCTCTGAGCTTCGAAGAAGAGAATGCTCTTGGTGAGAGCTTGTCCATGGTCATGGCCAGCCAAAGCTAGAGGAAGAAGACCAAGAAACAGAAACAGAGGAGCCATGGAACAGAGTCTCACAAACCTCTGCATTGTAAGTAACAATAGAGGGCATGTTTGATTGGAAGGATTAAAGTATAGGATTGAGATTATTAATCCATATGCCCAATAATCCTATATTTGTTTTGACATTTTGATTTAGGATTATTAGTAATGGGATAGGGGTGGATAGTCAATACCACACTAATTTGATAGGATTATTAATACCTCACTATTAATCTTATGAATCAAACATGGATAGAGGGTATATTAACAAACCTAGAAGAGTACACAGAGATGTTCTGTATAGAGGGTGTATATGTGTATTTATATGAACAAATTGGCAACGTCGGTCAGATTTATCAGCTAAAAGTCCTGATAAAACCACCAAAAACAGAGTGACCCTCAAAGAGAGAGAGAGAGATTGTGGGAGGGAAGGGGAAGAGCTAAAGGCCCTATAAATGGAGTTTGGGAGGGAAGATGCCAATTGCACAGAAAATTGGCAGAGATTAATAAATGTGATGATATACCCCATGCCAGAGATTAATAAATGTGAGTTTTTATTTTTGTTGTTATTCAATAATTGTAATAAATTTGTGTGTATTTTATTGCTATTTTAGGGGTTGTACACGGTTGAGAAAGAGCAGAGTCATGTGGGTTTGTTCGTCTCTGTAATGGGAAGGGTCGGTGTTCGGACTGTATTGGGTCTATTGTTATGTATAGTAAAAAAAATGCCGCATTTATTATTTTATTTTTCGACACAATATTAGCATAATAAATTTTAGCACTCAATGAGTATAAGTGTATAGATGATTAAATATAAAATAGGACATAGATGTCTCACAGCTGGTAGATCTCATTTTGTTTTATCTTTGTTTCCTAATATTATTGATATTTTTAATGAAGTATTTATAATTAAATTGACATATCAAATAATAAAATAAAATGACAGAAATTGATGGAGATTTTAACATTATTTTAAGTAATAATGTAATAAATTACTGCAAATCATCAGGAAAAAAGATCAGTTAAATTACAAGTGAATCAAACCTCAACTAGTCTTTGACTATTTAATTGATTACTATAGTGGATAGTAACACTTGGCAATTAAATTGGAGTTTTTGGGGTATGATAGTTACTAAAACAAGAAAGGGGGAAATGAGGAGTGGAAAGATACGTCACACCTTCTATTGATGGATTTGCTAGAATAGACATTGGTTGATGTTAGACACCAATTGGGGTGATATTTGATGAATAATAGGTGGGTAAAGACATTTGGTGTTCTAATAACATCGAATAATCTCTAACCAATAATTTTTTTAAAAAAAAAAATTTGTGCTAATTGAAAATATAACTATTTTTCTCTTATTCAAAAATGAAAAAAAAAAAATGTAAATCTTGGAGCACAACGATGTAACACGTTCTATCACTGAGCTAATAGCTAATCGTGTGATTTTTTCAATGAAAGCTTGTTATGCCAGAAGCAAGAGAAACTGATCATTCTCTTCTCTTTCTTCACCCCCATCGTGTTGCTACACAACCGAGCATGATAACGTAGATATAGAACTCTATCAACTTGTTTTGACTGAGAATATAAAGTCATAGTTTGGTCTTTCACCCTTAACTATCAAACCTTTGACTCAAGTGCAATGTCTTAGCCACGTGAGCTCTCTACCCTCAAATATTGAGAATGAAAATTAATTATCTCACAATAGGTGAGTCCGGGGGGGGAGGGGAGGGCTCATCAGCAGAGCCGGCCCTGGGCTAAGGCTGGTGAGGCCTGTGCCCAGGGCCCCAAAAAATAGGCTTAAAAAAAGGGCCCCAAATTTAGTAAAGACATTATATTAAAAACTTAAAATGGTCCAATTCTATTTAATTAATTTACGTCATTTTACAGGGGGGCCTCAAAAAATCTATTTGGCCCAATTGATAAAACGCCAAATTAAAAAATATTTATAAGTTTTAGTTGTTAGTCCAATTAAAAAAATAAAATATTAAATATATGCATATGTATTAGTCGTTGGCCTAATTTTGTGTGGCCTATTTTTTTTTTCTTTCTTTATGGTACAATTATGTGTTTTTTAGTATTTTTTTAAAAAAATATTTTACACAATTTTTATTTAGTTATTTTGTAGATACATCTAATTTAGATACACTTATAAGCTATAATATTTATATATATATTTTTTAAAACGTTACCAAATACAAAAAATATAAAAAAATACGAATTGTAAACTCAAACAATTATTTTTTAAAACTTTAAACCAAACAGAGTGATTTTTATTTTTATTTTTTTTAAATATCTAAAAAGGTCCCAAAAAATTATTTTGCCTTAGGCCCTCGGAAACTCAGGGCTGGCCCTGCTCATCAGTGTATTGTTATTTCTTTCTAGACATAATACATATTTGCCAAATTTGGATGTTGTAACTAATCTGCGTCATGCCTTATTTCAATAGCTATGTTGAACGCTTGCTCAACCGTATAAGTAATGGTGTGCTGGCCGAAGACAGGAGGACTGTTATTGCTGAACTTCAATTTGTTGTAGCAGAAAGTCGTGCTGCCCAGCTAGCTTTTGGGGCAATGGGTTTGTACTTCTCTTTTGTTGGATAGAGTGGCATTATTTGGAGCATGCTCATCATGTATAATACAATTCATTAAATTCTGTTGCAGGCTTTCCGGTACTTTTATGGCATGTTTGATTGGAAGGATTAAAGCATAGGATTGGGATTATTAATCCGTGGGTCCAATCATCCTATGTTTGTTTTGACATTTTAGTTTAGGATTATTAATCCAATGGATAATTAATCCAACAAATTTGTAGGATTATTAGTAATGGGGTAGGGGTGGGATAACTAATACCACACTAATTTAATAGGATTATTAATACCTCACTATTAGTGTTGTGAATCAAACATGGCCTTAAGTGTCTTGAAGGAAGAGCATGATGATGTTGAAATGGTTTGAAAGCTTCCATCCATTCTTTATTGATTTAAGTGTCTTTTTTATAATTTGATTTTGTACTTAATTTGAGAAATAACATTTTCTTTGTCTTGAACAAATGGTGTTTACTAGTGACATTATTAGAGAACCTTGTAAATAAATTTTAAGGTAAGTGGACCAATAAAACTAAGTCTTGTGTCTTGAAAAATAACTTGCCAGTTCTTATTAGATAATGTTGCAGATGGAAAATGTTTAGTCTCTTCCACATTTCCTCTTTTGTGTATGATCTTTTTTTTATAAAAAAAGTTCCCCATACTTCCTGCCCCCATTTTACTGTACAATAATAAAATTAGTGTTTTCATGGTTTGGATGCTTGAAGGTTCGTAGTGCTCTAGAAACTCTTGTGAGTGCCTTGACTCCAATTGATCAGGCAAAAGCTCTGAAGAATGAGGTTCAACGAACTTCGATAAACACTGATTTGCTTTCTAGAGAAGCAGAAAGCATTTCTCTTCTTCTAAGTTTGTTGGTGAGAGTTCCCACCTCGAACAATTTATTTATTGAATTTGCTTGGATTATGCATATTTTTGTACAATATATTGACTTGGTACCTTGGCAGTTGGAGGAGGATTTCTACAGACGCTATTACACACTGCAACTATTGACAGTTCTTCTTACAAATTCTCCAAATAGGTATTCTTTTTATGGCTGCTTTCTTTATGTTATATTTTATTTTTAGATTTACTAGATTATGCTGGGGAAAAATATATTGTTGCGTTTCTTCTCAAGTTACAGAAAGCCATTCTAACTATTCCTCATGGAATAACTCGACTTATGGACATGCTAATGGATCGTGAGGTGCGAAAATGGTTGACTGCTTGCTTTATTTAATTTTTATGATTTCAAATTAATTTTATTTTTCTAAACGATTGTAATAGCCTACTTCTTAAGAAATTAGATAGACATGCATGATAAATTGAAACTTTCAGGAGCTTTGTGAATCTCTCCTCTTCTTTTTTTAGGTACATCAGAATGGAAAAGAATCTCCCTTTCAAATTCCCTAATACTAAGTTTTTCTCTTGTTCGTGAAATATGTTTATAATTGGAATTTTTTGTTTGGGGACTTTTCTTAATCGAACTTTCTAGGAAGGAAAAAGCCCAATCTTTTGGCTGTTTGTGTTGTTCCTGATATTATTGGATCCTAAAAAATGTGTCTTACAGGTTATACAAAATGAGGCCCTGTTACTTCTCACTTACTTGACCCGTGAAGCAGAGGTGAATTTTTCACCACCCATTATCATTTTTCTTTATTTTCTTTCTTATTCAAAAATAAAATCAACTCATGATTTTGTTTTCCTACTAATAACTGGTTGAAATATGCTTTGTAATTGTAGAAAATTCAAAAGATTCTAGTGTTTGAAGGTGCTTTTGAGAAGATTTTTAGTATTATTAAAGATGAAGGGTGTTCGGAAGGTGGTGTTGTTGTTTAGGTGATTTACTGAATTGATTCATCTACATGTGTTATGTTAGTTCTATTGCCAGTCATAGCTTTTTGTTGATAAGCCATTTGTTAATGCATGGCCTTCTATTAGATGCAATATGCAATATGCAATTTATGCACTATCTTGTGTCATGTACATTTTATTGTGCCATTGTCATTTTATTTTTTAGCAATCTAGGTGCAATTCAAGTTCAAGGTGCTTGTTGTTTAAGATTGCTTTGTGTGAACTCAGGTGCCTCTACATGGTGGATTACTTGTTTTACTTACCATAATTTGTTGGGAACCTTGCATATTTGAAAATTTGTATTCAACATTAAATCTGAAAAACATTTATGTAAATGTTCTGGTGCTCTACAACAAATAATTAGATTATGGATTTCTTAATTAGATTGTGGATTTCTTTTTCCTCTTTCATTTTACCAGAAGTCCTATAGCATTTATTTTAAATTCTCTCATTTACTACATGCTTTGTCTGGATGGCTTGTTTCCTTGTAAATTCTCGTTTGAACCATCTAGTCTTTTTCGTGACACCTAAAATGATAAATACTTTAATCTATGACATATATAAAAAGGATATAACAGTGGTATAACGCGTGTAACATTGGTGCTTAGTTATAAAGCATCTAACACTCCTTTTACCAATATCTTCCTTCTATTCAAACCATAATTACCACTCACCCTTTCTTGTCAGCTATGCCTCTCTCGACCTTTAACAATGACAATAGCCACGACATCTACAACCGACACTACTACAAAAATAGTTAAAGATCACACTTTGACACAAAAAAAAAATCTCACTTTTATTGGAAATGTGATAAAAAAAAATTAGATTGATATTTTAATCACGCTTAATTTGATTGAGTGTGATAATATTCATTTTTTATGTTACTTTTCAATTAAGTGTGATTATATATATATTTTTTTAATCACACATTCTAATTAAAGTGTGATTATATATACACTACTACTTTTTAATCACACTTTTTAAATAAGTGTGATTAGATATATATGTTTTAATCACACATTCTGATTAAAGTGTGATTAGGTATATATTTTTTAATCACACCTTCTAATTAACATGTGATTATATATACACTACTACTTTTTAATCACACTTTTTAAACAAGTGTGATTATATATATATTTTTTAATCACACATTCTAATTAAAGTGTGATTATATATACACTACTACTTTTTAATCACACTTTTTAAATAAGTGTGATTAGATATATATGTTTTAATCACACATTCTGATTAAAGTGTGATTAGGTAAATATTTTTTAATCACACATTCTAATTAACATGTGATTATATATACACTACTACTTTTTAATCACACTTTTTAAATAAGTGTGATTATATATATATTTTTTAATCACACATTCTAATTAAAGTGTGATTATTTATATATTTTTGAATCACACTCCACTACAAGAAAAAGCATCTTTGGCGACTAAAAAAGCACATTTGGTCACTGAAAGTATAGGTTTTGGCGACTAAAAAAAGCATTAGTAGCCAAAAGTAAAGATTTTTGGCGACTAAAACAATTTAGTAGCCAAAAGTATAGGTTTTGGCGACTAAAAATCTATTTGGTTGCCCATATATGGCTTTTACGGACTAAAAAAGTTTTAGTAGCCAAAAGTAAGGCTTTTTGGCGACTAAAAAAAAATTAGTAGCCAAAAGTATGGTATTGGGTGACTAAAAAGATGTTTGATCGCCAAAAGTGAGGCTTTTACCGACTAAAAAATTTTAGTAGCCAAAAGTGAGATTTTTTGGCGACTAAAAAAAATTTAGTTGCCAAAACTGAGGCATTGGGAGACTAAAAAGAAGTTTAGTCGCCAAAAGTAGTAATTTTAGCCCGGGAATTAAATTTTTTTAACGACTAAAAAATAATCAATAGCCAAAAGTATAGAATTGGCAACTAAAATTATGTTTAGTCGCCAAAAGTGGTCTCTTTTTTTTTCTACTAAATAATTTATTTTTATATAAATTATGTTCAATAAAAAATAATTATCTTTATGTATATATACTTTTATATTAATACGAGTCTATGTATTATATAAATAATATATGTTGCATATATAATCATATGGTGTTATAGAGGTGTAGTAGAAAAAGTGTGTTGTATAAGGTTTATGGTGTGAGAGGGTTGATGATTTGAATCTCCACAAGAGCAAATGAAAAGCTAGTGAGTATAATATATTTTTTTTTCACATCACACTTAAAAGGTGTGATTAAAAATGATCCCTTTTAATCACACTTCCAAAGATCACATTTTAATAAAACTTAAAAGGTGTGATTAAATAACATACATCACACAAAAAAAAGTGTGATCCTTATCTGTTTTTGTAGTAGTGGGATTGACCAACCAATCGGAGGCCACCATCTCTCCTTTCTTGAATCTTACACAAAACGCATACACCGCTATCACCGTTTCAGGAAGACCAAAAGCAGCAAGAACCTTCCAGAAGAGATAAGCTCATGACATAAGCGATAAGCTCTTCAGGAGTTGAGTGGTGTGATCTGTGGAACGGTGGAAGATCTTCAAGAGTTGAGTGGATTTTCAAACTCATCATCGAAACAGAATGTTCAGTATATTTATGGCCATACATACTGGATTGGTGTATGTTCTATGAGCTGGAACAACCTGTAGAAACTGAGGTGTGTCTTCTTCCTTTTGTCTATTATGAAATTATTCCTAATTTATCTATTTGGGGCTCTATTCTTGATCCTTACAACTGTTTAATTGTGTGTCCACCATGTGCTCGATCATATGACATTGGGTTCTTGGTGAAAGATCTTAGGTTTTTTAGGGTGCTTTGTTTGACAGTATGTATTTGATTTCCTTGTTCTGTTGCCCCAATACAATTTAATATTTGGCTCAAACTATGTGGTGTCTTTGTTTTGTTGTCCTGCTATAATTTTATCTTGTGCTTACCATGTGTTTGACAATATGCCCAACCCAATAATAACATACTTTCATTAATGGATGATGACAACCTTGTTTTTTTATTAGTTTGTTCTCCTTGTCTGGAATATTTTTTTACCACTCTAATCAACAAGATGATTTCATTGGATTTCCCCTTTGGGTTCAAAATTGTAGCTAATGAAAACTCCGTAGTAGGGTATTTGTAAAAAGAAAATTATTCTTGTTAAATTTCAACCATTGTGGTTATATTGGTGTAAATTTTATGAACCATTGGTAGTGATAAATATTATGACACCTTTGAGCTACTATTACCTAACACTTACCACAAACATTTGCCCATCCCATGTTGGCTTTAAAAACATAAGAGGTTTTTAGGGTTTGGAATGATGTGAGAATAAATCAGAGAAGAAGTCTACTATTTAAAAAAAATATATTTATACAAATGCATCTAGAATGATGTGAGAATAATATTTTCAATGCTATGTTAGTTTTTGTCAAAACAAATGGCAGTAGTAATATCAGTAGTGAATTGCTGAATATAATCTCTTTAGGAGATTTTGAGCATATCACCAATACTGTGGAGCACTCCTTCAGTCATAAATTTATATAAAAAAAGTAGTTACCTGACAATAACAACAATATATATATAAAGTGGTCATTGGTCATTGAGTGTGTGAAAGCTTACTAAATATTAAAATTAACTACATGAATGATGGCAGGGTGAGGTGTCTTATCCTGTTGAGGGACTTGTGTAAGGCAGTGGGAAGAAGATTGAGATAGTCTGCTGCCATGAAGAGTATTGCCATGCTGATTATGAGCACTTGCAGAGTATTGGCATTGAAGCCACCTCCAAGAGCGACAAGAAACCCATCTTTTACTCTTGGTTTTGTGATAACTTCTACCCATATTTTGCTGCAAATGACGTTAGGTTTCCTCCTCCCCTCAACTCTCTGTGTACTTTGAATCTTGTATAATATCCTGATATAAGAGATGGAAAATCCTGAAAAGGAAGAACCAGACAGAAACCATAGAGATTTAGTCATCAGAACTAAATTTAAAAAATAAAATGCTATTTGCTGTTTAGTGGGCAAATATTAGTGCTGGTGTTTCTTAGTGTACCTCTGTAGCTTCTTTGGTTTGTAAAGTGGATTTGGGCTGGTTACGTGTCCTTCAACTTAGCCACACATACGACAGTAGAAAAGACACGAAGCTTCACTTCCAATACCATTCTTCCTAGAAATTTCCCAAAACAATGATCTGATGTTTGCCTATTTCCCAAAGCTCCTCCCTGCAAAATTTTCTTGCAGATTTTGGGTTACCTACGTGGAATTCAAATTATCCACACCGACAATGAAGAAGAAAACAAATTTTATCCCTTCGAACAGAAGGGGATTTTGTTTTCCATGCCATGTGTTCGTATAGCATGATTTCTCACAAGATATATATATATGTTCTGGATGGGCTTACTGTTACCCTGTTCTTCCCACCACTGTCGGCATTGGTGCTGCAAGAAAATTGATCCCGTGTGCTGGAAAAGAAATCTGCAGAGTGTGCCGAATTAGTATCCAATTGATGACTTCCATGTCATTTGGCTACAGAGCTTTCTGTGGCAGTGAGTCGGTGACCAATTATATAAACCATATATATTTTATGCGATACCATCTCTCGAACCGGAGTATATGATTTTCTGGCATGCAATTTTTTTTTTCTCCCCTCTATGTAGGGATTTTGATATTAGATTTTTATGTTTTTGTATTGTATTGGTGTTTGTTATTGCATTCCCGAATTTCACACATCATCTGCTTGACAATATGTCTATAAGAGTCAAACAAGTGGGTTCAAGTGAGTGTTCATGGACTCTGATCTCTCTTTGATTATGTGTTTCTCCCTCTTTGTTTTGGTATCCGAACTCAATCGATTCATTTGAATTGGGAATTTGTGTGTTATGTTTTGTTAGATATTTGATTTGGTTTTTTTTTGAGTTTTGTATCAATGTTTAACTTGATTTTGAAATGGGTTGTTTGCTTTTGTACTAAATGATTGATTTAATGTTTCTATGAACTCATAACTTCATTTATTATGACCTAAGAACATTTTTGGTAATATTTGGTAAAATTAAGGACTTTCTGAGTTGATAACATAGTGTGTGTCAAACAGTATTAACATTAACAACTTGCCCAAAAACAATTGGAGCAGAAGAGTTAGCGACTAAAGAAGCCCCCATATTTGTGTAAAAATTTTAAATATAGCAAATCAGTTAAATAATAGCCAGATGTCCCGCTTCCATCTCCATACTGAAATAAATCACCACACTGATTACTCTGTGAAGAGCATTCAGCAGCTGCAGCTTGAACTACATAAGCACATATTGGGTTAGAGCAAGAAATCAGAGACGCAATTGACAAACTGATTACGCTGTGGTGGATGAACTGCACCCGTCCAAAAATAAATAAATCAAACATAGAATGAATAATAAATAAGTAAATAAAGATAATAAAACTTTTTAGGAGTGTAATATGGGGAGGAGATATTGGTTATAATAATTGCATATGTGAAGTTATAATTCTGTCAATTGTTGGTGTTTCTCTCTTGTTCTCATGCTGCTAGGCAGGATTTAAGCCTAGGGCCCTAATCAATCTGTACCAAACCGGTTGATGACCTGAGCCAAGACCTTAGAGATCTTTTTTTCTTTGTTCTATGTATATCAATGAATGCAGCTCATTTTGTTTTATTTTTATTTGGACAATGCATGTGATCATATTGTCTCCCCTCACAAAACTCTTAAACAAGCTTTTACTGATTTTGTTTATGAACAGATATCCAGCAGCAAAATGAACAACACTGTGAATAGGAAATAGAGGAAATTAAGAGGGGAATCAAGTCTGGTAACATTACACCAGATGCTTCAAATATCAGATTCTCAGATAAGGTACTTGATGAGCAAAAGTATGCCATCAAGATTTCTGATGAGAAGGTGGCTTTGGCTGTTCCAGCATATGAGTTGGTACAAAACATGGCACTCTGTCATTCCGTCTCTGCTAAGTGACCACATTTGTTATACTGATGATTAGCATATGTCATGGTTCCATAATTCTTAGCTTTTTTTTATATATATATTTTAATTCATTAATTGTTAGAGGCTAAAATATCTTAGTGGATATCTTGTTCCTGAGTTTCCTTTCGACTCAACTCAACAAGCCTTAACCCCATTTTCTTTGGGTTGGCTACATGGATTGGTCATTAGTTGGCATTATTCAAAGCCACATCCCAACTACTTGAGTGTAGTTTCTTTTTTCTTTTTTTTGACTGGACAGTAGTTTTGAAGCCTAGCTGGTATTTGGGTGGCATCCCAATTAACCTAGGAGTAAGTGTTTTAGACATGTTTTAAGTTGTAGTAAAGTATTTTATTATTTGTAACCTATTCTGCAAGTAATAGTCGACTGTTTATAACCTGCCTATTGTTTATTGAATATAACTTGAGCCATGTCCTTTTTGAGGAATATATTGATTTTCTGCACCATACAATTCTACAAGTAGGGCGGAGTAAGTGTTTTAGACATGTTTTAAGTTGTAGTCAAGCATTTTATTATTTGTAACCTATTCTGCAAGTAATAGTCGACTGTTTATAACCTGCCTATTGTTTATTGAATATAACTTGAGCCATGTCCTTTTTGAGGAATATATTGATTTTCTGCACCATACAATTCTACAAGTAGGGCCCTTTAAGGATTTCATCACTCTTTGTTTAATGATTATGTCTGATTTCTACAATGAAGCTCTTAATGAAATTTGTTCTTGAGTATATTTCTTGGTCTTTATTGGATTGAGTCTCACATAGACTCTCCATTCCAGACATCCACCCATCTTGATTTTATTTGAAAATAGGTTGAATTCTTGGGAAAGACTATGGTAAACATGAAGGGTGTGTACCATATGCACCCGTATGCACCTGATAACTAAAGAAGACAATGGCACAACTTCATGCTTTTTGAGTCCCAACTTAAAAAAAAATAAAGAATAAAAAAAACAATAACCAAACAACACATGAGGCATAACCAAAGATCTCAAGAGTCATAACTAAAATGAGATCATAACTAAAGAAGTTAATTGAATATAACTTGAGTAGAATTTCCCTAAATTCTTTTACCCATATATCATTTCCTGCATGTGTAAGGACATCTATATTTCATTATGGTCATTGTGAGATTTTGATGAATGAATTTTTGTTAGAACGTATGTGTTCATTGAATTTTTATGCAGCAATGGAACATTTCATAAATCTTGTTTTTACATCAGTTGTAAGTATCTCATGGATTGAGTTGAAAATTTCCCCATTTTGTTTTTTGGTTAGAGTGTATATTGTGATTATGAAACAGGTAGATGCTCAAGTTCAACAACTTGATCAATATCTGAAAAAATTTGATGAAGAGCTTCAATGTGGTATGTTTCTTTTAGCTTATGCATCGTCTTCTATGTTTTGCATGTAATGGTGGCCTTATTTGAAATGTTGCTTTTCAACTTGTGGCAGAAAGAGAAAGTGCTGCTACAACTGGGTCAGCTGCTCAAAATCTCAAAAATAATGTTAAAGCTACCAGTGGCAGAGGAAGGTGTAAGACGTAACTACCTTTCCTACACCTGGATTTTCAAAGTCCTTGCTAGATTTATTTAGACCTCACATTTAGGCTATTGAAGCTTTTGATCCTGATTGCTTTTTTGCTTTTTTGGGAGCTGGATTTGAAACTTGATAATTACTATGGTTATTGTTACAACTTTTAAGGTAATGAAGAGAGGGAGAGATTAGATATGAAGATTTAATTAGATAATGGAAAACACAAGAGAAGATGAGGAGTTGGCATAGTAGGAGCTATGGCGGAAGAGTAGTCCTAATAGAACACCAACAAAGAAACTCTTCCCTACAAAGAAACTCTTCCCTACACGGTTTTGCCTTAGCTGATATCAAGAATCAGAGTATATGGGCCAATTGTTATTGAATGGTCAATGAACTTTAATTGAGTGAGAGTGATTGATATTTTAGAAAAATTATATTAAAATTTTGAATGAGAATCATGATTGGTGGCCTGTAAGTAGTAATGAAACTTGATAACAGGCACCATTTATTTGTATAGATGTCTGCATATTATGCTTAATTACTAATTTGTAAATTTTGGTGCTTACATTAATGTTTTTTTGTTGAAAATACCAATTAAATCATATCAATCCACTTTTGAGTTTTTGATTGTTAGTCGCATCTCATTTTGGGTTTCCAATTAATATCCAACTTTGAGTTGTAGTTAAATAGAAGCACTGATAGGTAAAATTGTATTTATAATCATGTAGTAACTGTTACCCTTTTCTTCTTTTTCTTTTATTTACCCCTCTTTCTCGACAAGGAACTATGTTGCTATTGTTTTAAATAAATTGCTTTAATATGATTTTGTTGATCTATATTATCACTTTTCTCTTGGATTCATCCTAAATCTAAGAATCATCTTTCATCGTCAAAATCTGAAATATTTTATGGTTAATGGTTATTTAGCTAAGTTTGCTACCATGGGTTTAAGCAACACAGTAACTGATTGAACATTCTGTTAGCTTGCTTTTATAAATAAGCTGAGAACTTTTAAATCATAAAAAGGAAGGTGTGGCAACCTTGGTGCTAGAGAGAAGGAAAAGAGAGACGGCAAAAAGCAATTCTTTCAGCTAGCTAGCCCACATAGTTCCAGATTAAGATAACAATGGGCCAATTTATTTGCCGGTTTAAAATTTTATAAAATGTAAGATGTAATTATGATTAATAAAATATAAAATATAAAATATTGTGTATTTGATGTTATTTTTTTAAAAGAAAATATTGTATCTTTGCCTTGCTATATTATTTCTATTAACGATAATTCGACCCCCACGCGCGTAGCATGTGAGGGTCCAACGAGTAGTATATAAAAATATGCTATCAATCAGTGCTTTGATGTCATATGTATTGTATTACTAGTCAAAAGTCTTGTTTTGGAAAACACTTCTTTAGCTTTGGCGATAGCCATGGCCAATTATTAATGCCATTGGTAATTTCTCTGACACGGTTGTCACTGAACAAGACTGTCTTGAATTGTTGAACAATCTCATTCGTAACGATGCGTCTAATCAGGCTTGTAGGCCTTTTGTTATTATTTTTGTTTTGACGCATACACATTCCTTCACTACTACTAACCATGGTCTGGGTGTGGTGTAGGTATTGCTAAAGGAGACTATGGGCTTTGACCCTTTGATATCAATTTTGAAGCTTAGAGGAAGTAGCTACAGTTTCACCCAACAGAAGGTTAGACACCCAGATTTTTAGAACTTTGTTCACTTCTTGTAGTTTAAACTGCCATATATGTGCGTGGACAGACATACACATGTATGTGTTATCACTAAAACCTTACTGATCATTTTTTGTTGTCTTTGAACCAATATGATGCTAGTAGACGATAAACCTTCTCAGTGCTTTAGAGACCGTCGGTTTGCTAATAATGGGAGGTCCAGAAATTGACACTGGAAAGATGTCAATAGGCTGACCAATAAAGTAGTCTTGGTTCAGGTTTGTTTCAAAATAAGTTATCTGCTATAATGAATACCTTTATAATTTTGTAAGATTTCTCTCACTAGTCTATGTATATTATTGGTTGTAGAAAAAAGTTTTTGACCATCTTTTAATGCTACGAGTAGAAAGCCAATGGGCTCCTGTTCCTGTGCGATGTATGGTACGATAACATTCTTTTTCTTCTTGTGGGTGTGTGTGTTTTAAAGAATACCCTTACAACGAGATATCATAAGGAACACCCTCTTGGATGCTAGGTTACTTAAATTACTTGTACGTTTTATTGGTGATGCAGATTGTGCAATCTGAGTTGTGTCACTCGTTTCAAAGAATGTTAAAAGCTGGTGATTATTACATCTCCATTTCTTGTTCTATAATGTTCTATAATATTTAATGGAAAGCGAGAATATAATTGATAGACCATTAGTAAATACAAAGTCCCTTCTGAAGATGTGTTTCACCAAATACTCTTTTTCCTGGTTGAGGGAAAACAAACATGGACTTGGATATAGCTTGTGCCATTCCAATAGAGTATTGCAAGTGAGTCTATCCTGTTAAATGACACTGTGTAAAGCTGTAAAGTAAATGGTACATCTATGAAATACCCATCCTGTATGGCAATGATTGATGTTCCTAGGAATTTTGCTTTGATAAATAGGTAAAAAAATGAGAGTCTTCTCTTATGGTGAACTTTTAGGCACTTATTTGCAAGAATAGCTTACTGTGGGTGATGTATCTGCTCTAAAATAGCGATTCCACAGTTAAGAGCATGAATCGAGTTGGAATTGCATTTCCATCAAGATAGAATTGAGGTTCCAATTGTGATGGGTCCGTTCTCAAGCATATGAATCCAAAAGATACAAATGAAAATCAATGCAAAATTAATAAATAAATAATACCAAAGCAAAGCCACCAGGGCAACTGAGATGAGACTGTTCTCAAATACTTACCTGATGCTAGTTTCCTATGTCTGTGCTCTTTAGAGTAAGTTGTATAACTAGGAACTTCTCATTCTTTTAAAGAAAATAAATAAATAAATAAATAAATAAAAGGTTAGAATACTGGCTAAGTATATCAATAAATGTATGCCTTCAAAGAATTTGATATTTTCAAAAATGTATTTATTATCTATTTTCTTGAATACCAACGTGTTGAATGGATTTAATTTTTGAGATTTAGATAAAACAAAAATATAACGTATTTTTTAATGATTTTTCATTAAAAAGCTTATCAAGTAAATTATCAAATACCAATAATAAATATATGAGAAAATCATGCGTTATCAAAACTATTTCATTATTTTTTTTTATTCAAAAACTATTTAATTTGATTTTTTTTTAAAATGACGAAAATAAGCCTTATATTTTCCACACAAAAATACCAAATATCAACACTTGTCATTTGATAAAAGGATTCCAAATTGAAAACAAATTGAAAATACAACAGAATATCTAAACTCTTTTTCAATTGAAAATACAAACAAAATATGTAAACAAATTGAAAACACAAAGTCTTACAAATTATTAGGGGTGTTTACGGTTTGGCGGTTCGGTTGTAGTCAAAAAAATCTCAAATCCGTCATCCGTCCAAAATTAGGTTGATTAAAAAAAATCAATCTGCAACCGTCCGCTTGTCATCACGTATCCATCTAAAATGCAACGAATCGATTCGGTTCATTGGTTTGAACATATCAAAATATTCCCTAAGCACCCTTAGTAGCTAGTAAGTCCCATTGCACTGATTTTTTTTTTTTTTTTAAATGCCCCATACGTGGAATTATTTGGAACTTGATAACTTTTTAAAAACAAGAATAGTTTCAAAAAGTGATCAAAATAAAATGCGTAAGCTAAATTTATTGTAATTAAAACTCACCCTATATTAAATGTGAATCTATATATCATATGACTAACGAGGCATTAAAAAGCACATTTGTTCTGAAAAGCAAACTTTAGGTACCTTTATTACGAATAAAACCTTGAGTTGGTACGAAAATCAGCAAAATAAATTTAACTATATATGGACTATAGTAGATATGGACTCATTTTGAATTAGTACAAATTTATCAATCAGTCAAGCAAGAGACACTGGGCAAAACTAGACCATTTTTCCTTCCAGCAACATTTTGACATAACGACGTCGTTTCTTTACACAGTTGAGTCGATTGAAGGTAGATGTCATTCATATATATATATATATATATATATATGTGGGGACATAATTTTTTATGACAACATATGGCCGAGATGTCACCGAAGTGCCAGCCGAGGTGCCACGTGTCCTGGTCATGACGCCGAGGTAATCTCGGCTAGGCCGAGGTTATCTGCGAGAATACCGGAATCCGAGATAAGCGGATAAGGAACAAGAGTCCTAAAATGAGAGAAGATTTCAGTTTAGGTAAAGATGAGACTCTTAGAGAGTTTATCCTAATCATACTGGGAGTCCAAGATTAGCAGTAATCCTAAGTCCATTAGAGCTAAGCTCTTATTGGGACTAGGATTGTGTTGGCTATAAAAGGGAGGCACCCCCATGGGTCTAAGGTATGCTTTTGATACTCTGTCTAGTGAGTTAAGCACTATTGGTTTTCTTTGAGAGATATTGAGTACTGACTTGATCGTCGGAGTACCCCTAGGTGGACGAGCCACTGCCTAAAACTCTTCTTTCTGTTGCAGGTCGTTCGGACTTAACCTATTCTGTCGGTATTCTCCAGTTGAGTACTAAGTTGGCAGTGTGGTCGAAAATTGACACACACAATTTGGCGCCGTCTGTGGGAAAGAAAGGAGAATAGATGGCCAACGACGGACAGAAAGAGAAGGTTGGGGACGACACTCCTACTAAAAATGGGAAACATATTGACTCAGACGTTGAAGAAGTCAGCTGCAACGAAGAGACTCGTGATAAGAATCATGGAGAAGAGGACGTCAGCCAGGAGGGCGACGTGCCGAAGAAATCAGACCGAAACGAGTATTATAACGAGGACGACCTCCAGGTATGGAAAGAAAGATACTCATGAAGGGACGACGAAATGAAAGAAATGACGAACAAATTGGCGGACCTGCAAACGGTTGTCAATTTCATGATTCAGAACAACGTCATGTAGCCACCGTTCCCGTCACAAGATACACCAATTCCAGCAGCCAAGAAAGATGCCCAGGCAGGGGGACAGAAGTCAACTTTTACGACTCCTCAGCACGATAGGATCGAGGAACATTCTCACCGGCCTTCAAGGGAGGTCGGACGAGGAGAATCAAGAAGGGGAGATTCACAGAGGACACATCGCACCAAGGAAGCTGACTCCAAAGAACATCGGCATGTTCAGGGAAAGGACCTCTGTTTCGACACGACCAACGAAGGGAGGTCCAAAAGGACTCGCAATGACACAGGAAGTAGTGCACCAAAGAGGCTGAAATCCGGAGATAGCCTAGCTCTTGGACGAACCAAGGAGGATCTGAGGGATTACCTCCAAAGAAAGTGACAAGATGCCGAGGTGACCTCACTTGTCAAGCCGAGATAACACTGGATATGAGAAGGCAAGAGCTCAGCCCAAGTAAGCCGATCCTGGATTCCAGATCCCAGAAGACAAGATCTCGACCTAAGATGATTAAGTCCGAGAAGAGAAGAGTTTACCGAGATGGTGTTTAACACTTGTTGAAACTTGAGAAAAGTTTACAAGTTGAAGTTAAATCGAGATTATGTTTAACACTTGTTGAAACTTGAGAAAAGTTTACAAGTTGAAGTTAAACCGAGATGATGTTTAACACTTATTGAAACTTGAGAAAAGTTTACAAGGTGAAGCTAAACCGAGATGATGTTTAACACTTGTTGAAACTTGAGAAAAGTTTACAAGTTGAAGTTAAACCGAGATGATGTTTAACACTTATTGAAACTTGAGAAAAGTTTACAAGGTGAAGCTAAACCGAGATGATGTTTAACACTTGTTGAAACTTGAGAAAAGTTTACAAGTTGAAGTTAAACCGAGATGATGTTTAACACCATTTGGGAAAAGGCCTCAATGCTATATAAGGGTCTAGGTTTTTACTTTTATAGCCCAGGAACTCCCCCTCCATTCCCGATGTGGGACACTGGGGCCTTATAATTCACCCCCCATAAGGCTGCACGTCCCCGTGCAGTAGCCTACCAGCTCGCAAGCCCGCCCACATGCACCGAGAGATGCCAGGGGCCCACACTCGGTACTCCGGAGAGTCGGCTCTGATACCATTTGTAACGCCCCGACCCTTTATACGTCATCGATATTGTCTGCTTTGGGCCACACCCGCACAGATTTGTTCTTCCCAGTGGGTCACCCATCCTAAAACTACTCCAGCTTAAGCAGGGAATTGTAAAAAGGTCTTTCCTGTTACCTTATGCCAGACCTGGTCCACATGTGATCATGCTAATGTTGAGATATGATGAACCATCTCCGATGGAAATACAATCATCACCTGCATTAATATTTTTGACTTAAAATTTGATAAACAACCAAATTAAAATATACATATGTAAAGCGCCATGCATCGACTTTTAGTTCCAAATCTTTTGGATCATTGCAAAATGCTTCCAATGGTAGAATTATGTAGGAATCTCAAAACAAAAGATCTTGCACAATAAATTTTTTTTTTTTTGGGTCACACGGTATAAAATTAAGAGAGATAGTATTATTATGTTTGATAATATACCAGTCCCAATGTGAGTTTGGCTTATGAAGACATGTGTGGAATGTTGAATGTGTATGCCATCAGTATTTGGGCTATCGCCGGGGGCAGTGATGGTGAGATTATAAACATATACCCATGTCGACCTTTCCAACGCCATATGCATTTGAGGGCTGACTATGAAGGTTAGGTCACTTATATGCACATGGTTGGAATGTGCTATTACGAACCCCTGTAAAAACATGAAAAATTATTAAATGTTTTCAAAAATATTATTTCGAAACATTATGTAGTACTTACAATGTAAACATAGGAAAAAAATAATTTAAAAACAAAGGATCTAGTGTCACTCACTGTTGGTTTTGACCCATGGTACTGAAAAGAAGAAAATAAACTTATATTAGTAAAGCCAAAAAAAATATTTATTTTGTACAAAAAATTTAAATTAAAATGGTGTGACAGTGATAATTATTTTAAAAATAATTAAATGAAGTGAGAGAGGAGGCTTCTTGCCTTTCTAGTGTGATTTACATTGGAGGAACCCCACCATTTGGTACCCTGGGCATTAATAGTACGAGAGCCATAAATGTAGAGACCATTGATCTCAGTAAATCCTATCCATTGACGGCAGTTACTTCCGTTGCACTTCCATTTTGAAGGATGACTTGGTGCTGTTAGGTTTCCACCTATCTATAATAAACCATATCAATTTAACAATTCAATAACAATATATTAAAAATAAATAAATAAGAGAAAAATAAAAATATTGAAATGTATGATAGGATAACTTATTTCTAGTTAAAAGAAAGATTGTACCGTGTTATTATTGGGCCAGTATAAGCCCACAATAGGAAAGTAAATATTTCAAATTATTTGTACTAATGATTCTAGTTGTACAAAAATTTTAATAAAATATTTGAGACGCATAAAATAATTTGACCTATAATGATGACATATGATACGAGAAAATTTATGAATCTAAAATTGTAATTACCATGACGTTAACGGCTTCGGAATTGCAAGGGCCACTAAAGATTATAGGTTGTAGCAAGAACTTATAGCTATCAGGAATGTGCATGGTTGGACTAAAACCTGAAACTTCCCTTGCCGAGCACGTAGCCTTCCATGCATCCTCAAAAGACTGCACACACAACTAAGCTTATAAGCATCTTTTTTTTAATTATTATTAATAATATAATAACAATGTTATCGACTTAAAAAATTAATCTAAAAAAAAAGTCTAGTGTAATTCAGATTAAGTGTAGATCTCATTGTACAAAAATTGAATCAAAACACTTCACTTTTCGAGATAAATTTCTTAACATATTTTTTCAGTTATTATCTTTTCTGATAATACCCTAGGAATCCAACTTATTTTTCCTTACAATCATCAATTCTTCTATAATCTATATATATATATATATATATTTGGTATGAATTTAATCTAACCAATTAGATAAAAAGTTTTACGTGACAGTGTAAATTTTATACCTATTACCTATATAAAAAGAGTGTAAGGATGGTGTAACACAGCTGCTTATGGTGTAACGCAGCTGTTGCTTTGGTTTGTAAAGCCGATTTGTGCAGGCTACACGGCCTTCAAATGAGCCACGCACACGACACTAGAAACAAAGAAATCCCACCATTCATGGTATTTGATTTACAATTATAGGTGTACCTTGTTTCCTCCACATTCTCTCACACTCTCACACACACACACTCTTACACAAACCCTTGATTCGATTTAAATCATGAATATTGCTAATTGATTTTTGGGGCTTCATGTGCGATTGATTCATGGATCGGATTAACTGTTGAATTGCAAAGAGGTTATGGAATATGGCTTGTGAGTTTTTTCTTACTTGAATTTAAAGTTCTATTGTATGATACCTGGGTATCATCAGTAGATCCATCTCCAACCGCTCCAAAATTTAACACGTTAAAAGTTTGATTGTGACATGCTACAGATATTGCAGAAACAAGGAAGAAAACAATACAGAAGAGTAACACATTGTTCTTCTTCATGGTTGGAGAGAGAGAGAGAGAGAGAGAGAGAGAGAGTAATGATGAGTGAGAATGAAATTATCAGAGACTCCAAATACATATAGTTTAAGAAATAGGACAGGATTGGTTTGACATATGAGAATGACAATCCAAAGTGAATTACGTCTCCAATTTAAACTGAAATTAGTCTTTTATTATTATCTTTAGTCTTTTATTATTATCCACTAGGTGACTCGTACAATGCATGAAAATTTATTTTTTAAATAAAAAATTGATTTTGAGTTTTAATACTTTATGTGTAACAAATTTAACAATCTAAAAAATTACCACAAATATAATTTCTTTCAAAGTTACGAAAAAAAAGGTATATTCTCAACCTGAAATCAAATACAATCATTTTCGATGAATCATGATTCTTTAAAATAATACTCACACTATTTATCATTTGATATGATTCTAAAAACTTAATAAAAAAAATAGTAAGTTCCATTATTTTAAACAATCAATATCAAATTGGACGTTACACGTCTAGGTAAATCACTTTTGATATGATTCTAAAAACTTAATAAAAAAAAGTAGTAAGTTCCATTATTTTAAACAATCAATATCAAATTGGACGCTACACGTTATGTAAATCACTTATAGAAATATCATAACGCACGTGCAAATTTTGTAAAAAAAAAATATTTGATGTATAATGTATGTTATAAAATAATTGATTTAATTTAATTTTAAATTAAAATTAAAGTATCATTTTAATTATTTATTTTGATAATATTGACACTATCGTTTTATAAAATTATTACTTAAATACTTATATATATTAACTTTAGTTAAATTATTTGAGTATTTTCATTGTTTGAGGTTTATCGTATTATCAAAATATAATTATCATATAATAATTCTTTATGATATATATTAATTTATAAAATCATAAAATAAATATTCGTTTTGATACTAAAAATAATAGTTAAATTATAAGAAGAATTAGCAATATAAAATTCAAAGTAATTCTAACTATTTAATTTTCTTTTATATTCATTTGAAAAATAAAAATATGTAGAAGTAGAAATTTATTAAAAAAATTAAATATAAATATGTTATAATTAGATTATGATATAATGATTTTATATGATATATATATATATTAAATTATAAGATTGTAAAATAAATATACATATATATATATATATATATATGTATATTAATTTATAGGATTGTGAAGTAAACACACTTAATTAAATTAAAATATCAACTATATAAAAGAAATTCAACAATGACTTACTAAGAAAAAATCATATAACAACATTTAAACCCAAAAAGAAAAAATAACGAAAAATCCAAAAGATAAATACATCTCATTATATGAATTGATTAATCATTTGTACTATGATATCAAAATATAAAAAAATTTATTGTTCAACAATTTAAAATTAAGTCAAGCAGTAAATCAAAATTTTAGAGGTTCCTTGAGAATATCATTGTTGTGCAGGTTTTTCTTCCTATGAGTTGTGATTATATAAAATAATATAAGAAAGAAGTATAATTTCATATATATATAATCACTATAAAATTTAAATGATAAATCCATAATATAGAATTGGTATTGAGTATAGAATAATGCACAAGAAAATAAGAAGAAGAAAAAAAGATAATTTAGCATTAAAAAAAATCTTAATACCTTTGAAAGAATTAAGAAGAAAAAAATATATGGAAAAGAAATATTTGTCAAATAGAGTCCATATAATATAGATAAAGTTAGTATGATTTAAATTAAGTTTGGGTTTCTATAGAATTCTATGTAATTCAGAAAATACAAGTTGACGTGTATAGTGATCCCAGGCTTACCCTTGTTGTACAGTGATCCGGACATGTGTCCGTGAATGTTGGTAGTTGTTTATTTTCTAGTTTGCATCCTCTTTACTTTGTATATTGAGTTATAAGATGCGTTGGGCAGGTTTGTTACAGGTTGGTTGCGTTTGGGAGCCTAGTGTTGCTGCCCAGATTTTTGGTCCTTCGCTCGAGCGAGGAGGTTGTCGCTCGAGCGAGAGTAGTGTTGCCCCGGTTCTGGACCTGAGAGTTGTAGTTTCTGGCTCGAGCGAGCTTTTCGTGGCTCGAGCGGTCTGGGTTTTTCTTCGCTCGATCGAGAACTTCTTGGCTCGAGCGAGAGTTTTCTGTGTCTGGTCGCTCGAGCGACCAATCCTTCGCTCGAGCGAGCTTGTTTTATATCAGCGCACAACAGCGTCTAAAACATCACTTTTTCACTTCTTTTCTTTGAGCAAACCCTTAATCCGACACTCTCTCTCTCTAAACTTGCACTCTCTCTAAGGTTTGATCTCCCTAGGGTGTGAATCTAGCCTAGGGCCTTTGTTAAAAAGGTAGAGGGTGTTAAGAGCTTCGATTTAATCTGAAAAAGTTTGGATTTGGAGCAAGTTGATCTTGGAGTCTTCATCCCTTTTTGGCTTAAACTTCGAGGTAGGGATATCCTACTCCTCTCTATGGGTTTTGTCTTTAAATTTTGGTATTTTGAGATGTTGGGCTTGGTTTGGTAATTTTGTGAAAGTTTGGGGCTTTTGTGTAATTTTACAAAAGTTGGGGTTTTATTCATAATAAACCTAGATGCATGTTTGGCATAGAAAAAAATGGAATGATTGTTGAATCATTGATGAAAATGGAACCTAAGGGTTGAAATAGTAATTATGGAAAATGGCCTAATTACATTGTTTAATTAATTGGGATAATTAATTGGTGAGAAATGAGGAAATGAAATGTTGATTGAATATCCACTTGTGCATTTATTTTCTGTTTCATATACAATGACTCATCCATTCAAATTTTCAATGGTTTAAATCAAACCGTTATATTCAATGACATAATTCAATAGATTAGTTTCAATTTTCCTAATCCTCATGCATTTTCTACAACAATCATAGCTATCCTCCACTGATAGCCCAAAACGGATATTTCTAAATAGATAAATAAATCTTTCAACAGATAATTTATTAAATTTTCCATAGGTGAGTGATTTACCAATCCAGCTACACCATTTCATCACATATTCCTCCAATTTCATAATTCCCAAATCAATTTCAATAGTCGAACAAAATAATTATTTAACTCAAAATAATTCAAATTAGGGCAGTCTCCCTCCTTTCACAAACATTACATCTCAGGCCAAGTTTCACCCATTATACACAAGAAACCCCATTTTCAAGACCTCATCTACACATATGGAGTCCAAAATAGAAAGCCCCTCTTTTACATATTCAAGACCCAAACCCTAACTTCACCCAAACTTCCCAACTGCACCATTTATGCAAAGATGACACACATCTAGGTTAAGACTCATAATAAAGAGTAGAACATCCCTACCTCAAATGGAGAAGCTCAAAGAAAAAGAAGGAGAAACTTGAAGATGCTCCGAACTTGAACTTTTTCGGATTGAAAGGGAGCCCACGCCAAACTCTAGCTTTTTAACAAAGGGAGTAGGGTAGAATGACCCTAGAACATGAAGTATTTGTAGAGAGAGTGTGTGTTTTAGAGCGAGGAGCTGCTGATCTAGGGTTTTGAAGAAGGACGAAGGTCAAAAATGGTGTAAACCATCTCTGTTGCGAACTGATATATGCAAGGCTCGCTTGAGCGACCAGACTTAACAAGTGGCCTCGCTCGAGAACAAAAAGTGTCGCTTGAGCGCACAATTCAAACCTTCAGGTCTGCTATAGATGTAGACGCACGCTAGAGCGCAAGAGTTCTCTCTTGAGCGAAAGAACAAATAACACAGGGCTCGCTCGAGCGCAAGAAAGCTCACATGAGCAAAAGTTGTGTTTGAAAAGAAACCTAAAGACCCCCAATCCTCGCTCAAGCGCAAGAACCCTCGCTTGAGCAAAGAAGCAAATACCCAAGGCTCGCTCGAGCGAAGAGGCCAAAACCTGGACAGCAACCACTTGCACCAAAAGACAACCAACCTGTTCCAAACTGGCCCAACAAATCTCAAAACTCAAATTTAAAGAATTAAAGGGAGGAAACAAGACAAAGACAACAACATACCACCAAGGAACCCGAGTCCGGAATACAACAAAGGTCGGGGTAAAACCTGGATTGCTATACCGGACACTCAGGCCAACTTATCAATTCCATCTACACCTCCTATCCGGACTTCCCAATGTATTTACCCCAAAAACATTTCCTTAGTTCTCTTTTCTCAACAATTCTTTTCTCAATGCGATCAATTTCAAATGAAAACATGCGGTAACCAAACATTAGTGTATGCAAAATAACAATTGGTAATGCTACAATAATCACTCCCTTTTCATTCTTAAATATTTCAACAATAAACTCAAAATATACAAGCTTTCATTCCTTCTGTTCCATATATCTCACAATGGAACCATGTTCCTATTTAAATTCATTGACAAATAACCACATTTCCACTTCTCAAGCAATTCCAACAACATAATCACTTCAAGACTATAGCAACAATTGTGCAATAATTTCTTTTCAACACCAACATTTTTCTCTATTTTATGAGATTCATCATTTGCAACTATAAGTAAGAAGCTTTCCCTTCTTTAACTCTTTTGATATACAAAATAATGCATTAATAAAAAAAACTTCATTTGTTCTCATCATTTGATTTGAAAACCCCCAATTTCTAGTTTTATTCTTTACAAACAACACAAACACACACACACACACTAAACACTTGGAAAGGACCCTCAAGATCACACCATTTTCCTTGCCTAAGATAATTTCAATTCTCATGATCCTATCTTAGAAGAATTTGAGATTTTTAAAACCTACTTTTGAAAATCTCTACATTTTGAGTCACAAAATCTAAATCAACATAACTTCAAGAAAACCTTTAAATCAACATCAATATTGCAAAACATGTACATATAACTCAAGGAAGTCCCTACCTCAAGGTTTGATGAAGACAAAGAGGTGAAACCCTAGAAATCAAGGATGCCCAAGCCCAATCTCCACTGTACACAATGTAGACCTTGCTTTGCTCACCAAGATTT